AAACATCCAGCTCTTTGTTTCAATTACCACAAACCTTTAGAAAGTCCCTTAACTATAATGTCCCTCATATTTTAAAAGGGTTCAGTTCTTATTGGCAAAAAAGAAACCTTGACCCTAAAACCATGACTTTTTAAATCTTCTTGACCATAACCCATAGTAAGAAATATGCTTTATACCATAATCCATTACACACACACACGTTATAAAACAGTACTTAATACCTACTACATGCAATGCATTCAGATATTTTCTCTTTTATTTTATGTCATTTTAAAAAGTGTCAGTTATAGTCTCCTAATTGATTTCAGTACTTGCTAGCAGGTCACAACCTGCAGTCTGAAAAACACCACCCCAGGAGACAGGAAGGTTCATGGAAGATTTCATAAGTATGGTTCACAAATCCCTTCAACCTTTCTTTTCTTTTGTATTTCAAGACATTGCAAAATAGAAGCAAGTCAAGCCCATTTTCTGGGAAACAAGACATCCCTGTGTGCACAGTTTGAATGGTGTGTTGTCTGACGGTAAATGAGAGGTTTCCACATGGGGTTTCTTGTGTGTTTGGTTGCTGCAGATGATTAAGCATGTTGACAAATAGAATTTCAAAACACAGGACTCTCTCCTGGCAGGGCTTTAGTGCCCTGTGGAAAGTAAGATCATATGTCCCCAGTATCTTTTCGATGAGAATATTCAATAAGCGCTTCTTTCACGTAAAAGGCCCATCACGCATCATAACCCGGTGTGAGCAAGCACTCTGCCTCAGGGCTGCTGAAATGGGAACATGATGACTATATGCCTTTCCAATCATGCACAGATTTAAAATTCACAGCACCGTCATCACTACTACCACCTCCCTCAGCAAGGAAAGAATCTGCACCCCATCCAGCTCTGCATGCTTCTGTGTCCAACCAAAATCCTAAAGCTGGAAAGAAACACAAAGGTCATCTGGTCTACCTCTCGCCTCCCAAAGAGGACAGCCAACTAAATTTTTCCAGCTCACAGCCGAACTATTTCCCTTTGTGCCACAACATGCATCTGTGCTCCACAGGGCTTTCCTCGTGGTACTGCAAAAGCTTTCGATGTTTCTACCATCACACTTTTAATTATACTTTTTCTCCTACTTAGAATGTTTCTCCCTCCTGCCCATACAAATCCCACACATTCTTTCAGATCACAACCCAAGCTCTCTAAGAAGCCTTTCCCAAACTCTACAGACCTATCTATCCCTTTCTCCTTCTCTGAAATGAGATTCAGCTCACTGAATTCATGCAACCTTTGCCTCTTAGATGCTGTTTGACAAACAGTTAATATATAGTCATTGACTTTCTAATATTTAAAAGGTGTGTTTAAAAGAATCTTTAATCTTAAACTAACTTTTCTTACAACATACATAGCAAGGAATAAATAGAAAGGTTTAGAATTTTATTATGAAGATATTTAAATCAAAAAATCATTATAGAAATAAGCATGAAGCTATTAATTTCCATATACTCAGAACCAGTGACAACAATGATGGTAGATGCCAGCACTGTTGATTTTTCTGATATATTATCACATGGGAGATACCTGTCTCAGGCAACTGAATTCTTACATGTATCAGACAGAGCAACTAAGGGGCTTCCTCCCTGAGCCAATACTATGGTAGATGTTCTCATGGAAACGGACTCTGTGCTTTGATGCACAGTCAATCCACGGAGACTGTGCTGGCTTTGGTTACTTTTTGTTATAATAGGATCATTGAATTTTATAACTTTGAAAGAGCTTAAAGATTATCTATTTAACAAAACAAAAAAAAAGGTGAGCTAATGTGCCTCAGATCACCCTTGTAGAAAGTGACAGAGTTGGGGCTAAAACCCCAAATCTTCTGTTATCCAAAGAAATCAGGAACTAGAAGTCTAAAAACCTCAGACCACCTAGCTTTTCAGTTTCATTTCCCTTGTCCCCAAACTTCCTGTCTTCCAGGAGATCTCTCTGGCTCACCACTGAGCAACTTCCCCACATCCTCAACACCAAACTGTCTTCCTCTCATCAATCAGTTCCCTGATGTTGTTCCATCTCAATGCCACAACTTCTCTTATCCTACCTGGCATTTCATTGTTTATTCCAGTTCTTCCCTTATCCAATACCTCACCTACCCAAACCACACAGCTGCTTTATTTTAAATCCTTCCATATGGTCCAGACATAGTTACATACGAAACCGAAGCTAGTGACCATGACTGCCTCACAGAGTCCGATTCTCTCCACCTGGGGTTACAGAAGCCTTCTCTATCTCATGCTATGTGTGAATATAATATGCTGAAAAAAAGAAAGTTTTCTCCTTCATCAGGCAAGTAATTTCTCAAGACACATAGCCAAGCAGACAATTATGTTTGCAAGTTAAGCAGGGAAAGTAGCAGAAATCATTCACACTACCAATAAATAACAAACTACTCTTTACCAAAAATATAGTCTCTAGCTCAAGAGCAGAAACATTGGTTACTGACCCTCCTTGTCTTATTCTTGTCTATGCTCTTGTCAAGGCACTCAGAGAAAAATGAGGTGGGTGGTCAAAGCAGGAGATAAGAAAAAGATGAGACCAGCGAAAAATCCAAACCAATCCAAGTAGCTACAGGGTATGGTGTTAAACATGTGGACTCCAAAGGCCAACCGGCCAGTCTTGGTTCCACCAGTAACAGCAGAGTGACCCTGGGCATCCTGCTTGAACTCTACTCAGTTTCTCCATCTGGTAAATGGGGGGAACAGTAGTACCTACCTCACAGGGCTGCCATGAGCATTAACTAACATATGTAAAATACTTAGGACAATGTTTGACACATATGAAACAATACATAAATATCTGCTAACTAAAATGAATCCTGAGTTGGAAATTATTTTAACAATCATGCTGTGTGTCTGCTTATCTGCAAATCTTATCAGCAGTTTCAGGATTTAGAGACATCGTGATGGTTCCCATACCACACCGCAGACAGCCTACATCCCCTAATGTGAATCTCGAGAATTCATTTTATAGTTCCTTTACATTGTGGCTTGAACAGAATATACTCCTGGTCTCTCCTGGGTCTCTCACTAACAGTCCCCACTGCTGTAGCCGCCACACATGGGGAGGAAAGGTCTCTGGACGTCGAAGACAAGGCCTGTGAAACCACAAAAGTTCCTGTCTGCACACACATTACAAATTCTACCTGTGACCCAGGACTGGAATTGGGGGACAGCAGACCCCCTACCATAGAGAAAACAAAATGAAGAGAACATTCTTTGCATCAAATGTGTCTTCTTGGTACAGGGCTCACGGGGGCAAAGCAAACTTCTCAGAAGCTGTCCTCAAGCCTCTCTTCACTTTCCTTCTTCATTTTGCTCGGCTTGGGCTCTTGGCTACACTAAATTCAGTCTCCTCAAGGTCACTAAAATCCGACCGACCGCTCTACAGACCCCATAGGCTCATCGGATGCCGTCTCTCAGGATTACCACTGCCCACACTGCCTTTCCTCCAGGGCTCCCAGCTCTTGGCTTCTGGGCCACCACACTCTCCTGGGATTTCTGGCTACTCCTTCTGGGCTCCTTTGCTGGCTGTTCCCTGCCTTCCCCTACTCCTCGCATCAGTGTCCTAAGACTCATTCCTGGGTCCTCTTCTCTTCTCCATGACGAGCTCATCTGTTTTTGTGGCTTAAAATACCATTTCTTCCCTCAGTGACTCTCAAATATAGATCTCCAACCCATACCTCCTCCTAACTCCTAATTCATACATGGAACTGCCTACTCAGTGATTCCACTGAAATGTCTAATAGGATCCTAAACTTAGCTTGTCCAAAACCAAACTCCTGACCTTAACCCCAAGCCCCCCTCTTCTGTCTTCCCCATCTCAGTAAATAACACTCCCCACCACCCCTCTTCCTTGCACTTTCCTTCACACCTACCAGTTAGCAAATCTTATCAACTCTACCGTTAGAAACATCCAGAATATGACCACACTTCATCATCTCCAAACTGCCCTCTGGTCCCCAGCACTGTCATCCTTCCTAAGTACTGAAATACCCTTGCAAGAAATTCTCTCCCTCTCGCCCTTGCCCCACTATAGTATTTTCTCAAAACAGCAGCCAGAGAGAGGCCATTAAAACCTAAGTTGGATCATGCCACTCCTTTGTTCAAAAACTTCCAATGGTTTCTCATTTTACTCAGAGAAGCCAAAGTCTTTATGATAAGTGCATAACCCTCCATAATCTGAGTTATCTCATCCTACCCTCAGATCTCTGACCTCATCTCCTCCTGCTCTCCCCCTGCTCACTCCACTCCAGCCACACTGGCTCCTTCTGTTCAGGGCCCCTGAGGTTATTGCATCTTCTGCCTGGAACACCTTTCCCCAGACACCCATGTGCTTGGTTCTCTTGCCACCTTCACATCTCTGCTCAAAACTCATCCTCTAGCCCAGCCGGGCGTGGCTCAGTGGTTGAGCGTCGACCTAGGATCCAGGAGATCGAGGTTCGATTCCCGGTCAGGGCACATGCCCGGGCTGTGGGCTAGATCCCCAGTCGGGGGAGTGCAAGAAGAAGCCGATCAATGACTCTCTCATCATTGATGTTTCTATCTCTCTGTCTCCCTCTCAGTTCCTCTCTTGAAATCAATAAAGATATATTAAACAAAAAAAGTCATCCCCTAGCTAAAGCTATTCCTCACAGCACTTTTTAAAACTGCAAAGTATACCTGCCTAGCATTCATCTCCCTTCCTTGCTTTATTTTTTCCAATAAGATTCATCAACTTCGTATTTTATAAATTTCATAATAAAATGTATTATAGAATTACTTTGTTTCTCCCTATTAGAATACTTTATTTTCAAATTATTTTGTCTTCCTCCCCTACCAGAGTATAAGCTGGAGGCGGGTGGGGATTTATGTCTATTGTTTACTACTGCATCCCTACCACCTAGTAAGTGCTTTGTATATAACAGAAGCTCAATAAATACTTGCCGAGTGAATGGGAATAATGGCTCACTTGGCTCCTCTTACCTAAGACAGTCATCACTGTCTTCATGAGCTTCATGGGTGTCCTTCGGCGGCTGATGGAGCCACTGGTATGTGGAGACAAGACGTTAGTTTTCCTCTTGACGTACATGTAGATGCGCAGGTACACCACAACCATGATGAAGAAGGCCACGAGGTTGGACACAGTCCAGAAAATGAGGTAACTCCTGCTGTAAATGGGGGCCAGGGAAGAGCAGGCGGAGATGTCACAGAGGCAATTCCAGCCTAGTGTGGGGACTGCCCCCATAAAAATGGCAATGGCCCAGACAAACAAAATGAGCAACGTCACCCTCTTTTTGGTCAGGTTGCTGTGGACCCGCATCCTCATGATTGACATGTGCCTCTCCACCGCAATCACCAGCAAATTGGTCAGGGAGGCGGTCAAGCTGGTGTCCAGAAGGCCCTGGCGGAGAAACCAGCGGTTGACGGTCAAAGTTCTTGAAACGGGGCCAGTGTTGAACATCAGGAAGACATAGGCAATTCCAGCAAAGAAATCAGCAGCGGCTAGGTTAGCCAGCAGGTAGTAGAAGGGGAAATGAAACTTTCTGTTTTTAATCACGGCTGCGATGACCAGAGAATTAGAAAAGAAAATAAACAGGCAGAAAAATGTTCCAACGCATAACACAATCACAAGCTTTGTTCCTGTCCAGTCATCGGCCGTGTCAGTGTTGCTCCTGTTATAAAAAAAGTCCATCTGCTTATCATAGTGACACTCATTCATTGTGGAGAAGAGCTGAACATCCTGGAAAATTAAAGAAGAAACAAATATCACTCTTTGCATAATCAATCAATAAACCACAAATTGCCACTGCAACCCCCTTGTCTGGCCAGCTCCTATCAATCTTTCTGACCCCTTGCTCCAGGACCCTAGCCCTGATCTCCTCCTATCATAGCATTTATCTCACATTGGTAATTGTCGTCTGTTTCCCAGGCTAGGTGGGAGCTCAGTGAGGGAGGGTATGTGTCATCATTATAACCTCTGGACCCATTTGCCCTGGCTGCCTCATGGCAGGTCTTTGCTGAATGCTGGCTGGCCGACTGGCTGAATAAATCAATGAAAACACGATCATGGAGGCAGCAGTAAGTAAAACATTCTGAGCCCTGCAATATCCACTCTGCACTGGTAATGATTACAGCACAACATATTAATGCTTTCTCCTGGTGGTTTCCAGCTAATTTCTTATTTATGGGCTCTGTTCATTAATCAAAGGTAGGTTGGCAATGCCAGGCACATTCTTGCCAAGATAACGGGTGCTGAGTTACTTTTCACATGACCAAATGGCTTCCCCAAGAGATCAAGTTTCCTCCACTCTGATTCCACTCCTGATCCTGCTTTTGCCATCTTTTGGTTTCAAGCTACAGTGACAACACCCACTTGTTAGGCATGGGGTGCAGGGCTGGAGACGGGTCTCAATACTCCTTCCTAACCTCTTTTGTTTACTTCTTTATTATTCCCCTAATCCAAATCGTACCAATTGAATTTGTTTATTGGATTTTCTAACTCAATCACTTCGGGTCAGTTTCCTTTCCCAGACTCTCTTCAATGCACGAAGTAGTGGAAGAACAGGCCTCCATGGGCAAGACTGAGCTCTGGAGTTTGGGCAGACATCCAAGGATACGAGAACATACCTGCCAAGCAAGGGCAAGTCCTCAGGACACATGCCTGAAAGTAGATCCCAAAGTGGGCATCAGGCAGACAGGGAAGATACTAATCTCAGGACAAGATCTCTCGGACCCCCAAAATGAGGGATTGTGGCCAAGGAGGGGTGGGCAGAGGCTCTAAGATTGCCCACCATCTATGCGTGGTGGGATGACCAGGTGTTCTGCCTCACAGGGTCTGGGTACAGCATGAAAGGTCCTATTAAAGGGGCCAGGGGTTGAAGGCCAGGAAACCTAGCTCCCTCACAAGGGGTGAGGCTGCAGTTTATGCTGGAGATCCAGTAAACTCAGGCCCTGAGCAGTTCAGTGCTGGGAACGAGTGGCTCTAACAGCAAAAGCTTAATAGAAATCCCCAGCTTTGAAGGTTCTTATAAATTCTGTAATCCAATACCACATACAGAATCAGGACAAGCATATCAGATATCAATTTGAAGTAATACAAAACAGAAATGTATCTTAGGCAGTCTTCTTTTTTATTTACGTTTTAATGACATGATATTTTTAAGTGAATTAGACACATGCCTCTCTGTCATAGCAAATGGAAGGTAAGAATATCACTTTCTATGCTTAAAATAAACAACTGAGAGTGGTCTCAAGAGACAAACAGTTCTAGTGCCTTTCAATTACAAGGAAAGGGGTCTCAATTTTAATAATAACAAAACAAAAATTACTCTCTTTCACAGAATTCACCAGTATTTAATTGCCAATATCAGATAACTCCATACAACAGGCCAATATAACTACACTTTCTTGTGATAATTTTCCCAAATTAAAAACATACACGTATTTGATTATTTTAATAGCTTCCTAATATTCCAGTATATGAATATACCACACTATTTAACCAATCTTTAAATGCTAGACACTTAGGTTGTTTCCAATATTTTGCTTTTGTAAGCAAGGTTACATTTCTGTGCATTAATCTTTACATACTTGGCCAATTATTTCCTTGAGATTAATCCATAGACTTCAAGTTGATGAAGTAAAGGATGTAAATTTATTTAAAGGTTTCTGATACATATTGTCGAACTGCCCTTGAGAGAGATTGTATTTCTAATCTTACTAGCAGTAAATTAGAGCTGAATAAAAGATATTAATATAGTAAAATTCAATTTAAATATCCAAGGAGAAAATTCAGCTTTCAACAATATCAAAAGTATATAGAAATTCAAAAAAGAAATCACACGAGAAATTTTAATGATACAATTAATGATACAATTAATATGTGTCCTTTCACTAATGAAAAATAACATTTTATTTTGCTATATGCTCTAGATACCTAAGAGAAACACATTTCTCATTTAAAATTATATTATCCTTGATTAATTCATCTGCAAAATCAAGAGTAATATGTCAGAAAGTTGTTGGCATTATAATACTACCAAAAAAAGTTAAAATTTCTTAATTTCCTTTCTAAAGAGTGTTAACATTACAGTTTTGGTTCATAAATTTGATTGAATTTGTAATTATATGATGTCTTAAAACCTCAATGATTTTTACTTCAAAAATCTTCAAATTTAACTTTCCCCCATAAAAAGTAAAATGGCACATTCTTAGATATATTTTAACAAAAACTGTCTTGAGACTGAGTAGTTTTGTCCTACAAAGTAGAGAAATCATGATTAGCCAGCACTTCCACCACACAGCTCCCTACTTCTCAGCCTCGAATTCTACTTTAGGGCGAAATAAATAAGAGCAAAAAATATTCACATAGGGAATTTGTAAAAAATATTCCACAGGATAGAAATTATGCAGCCATTAAAAATTACATTTACCATGAAGTTGTGGTTATATAAGAAAAAACATATGCCATTATTTTAATTACAAATAATTACACATGCATATACCTGTATACATATATTTGTATACATATATAGACACATATACACACATAAATATGTGTGATGTCTTAACTATTTTTTAAAGATGCAGAATAAAGATAAGAAAAAAATCTCAAAGTGTAATATTAAGATGGTGGGATTGTGGGTCATTTTTAAAAAATTCTTTCCAGAGTTTTCTGTTCCACATTTTCTGTAATAAATAAATAGACTTTTAAATGCTACTTTACAAATTCTGTCTAAGAAGCACACATACTACTTAATGAATACCCTTCTTTGACAACTACAGTCTGAAACATTAAAATTAATGTCCAAAGGAAAACCTCACACAGTTCATTATTACTACATTTATCAGCAAAGCACACTTTAGAGTTTTTCAGTAATAATGAAAATAAAATGGTTTTCTATTTAAAGTTTCACGTAACCAGAAAACCTTATATGCTGACAACTAACCAAATCAGGATATCATTTCCCCCAACTCTCCTATTAAACATTTCCTAACAAGATCACCCCAGAGCTCCAAAAATTAATAACTGGAAGTTTTGTGAATTAGTACTTTCGATTATTTTCTCTCTGCCATATGCTGCTAAACTTGCTGATGGTCCTCAGCATACTTCAACTACAGATCACCGTATTTTCTTACCTGGAAATTACCAAAAACTTTGGTGAACTCATAACAAATGATTGGATTTATCATCTCTTGACCCCTCACAAACTTTAAAATATGACTCGTGATCCTAGCCTAAACATCCCCTTCAGACAGATACCTTCTCTGACCACTTCAAAGCTATAAAACTCCTAAAAGAAAACATAGGCAGTAAACTCTTTGACATTTCTCTTAGCAATATCTTTTTGGACATGTCTCCTCGGGCAAGGTCAATAAAAGAAAGATTAAATAATTGTGACTACATCAAAATAAAAAGTTTTGTACAGCAAAGAAAAGCATAAACAAAATGAAAAGACAATCTACAAAATGAGAGGAGATATTCACAAATGATAAATATCTAATAAGGAATCAATAACCAAAATATATAAGGAACTCATACAACTTAACACCAAAAAACCCAAACAATTCAAATAAAAAATGGGCAGAGAACCTGAAGAGATATTTCTCTAAAGAGGACATGCACATGGCCAACGGACATATGAAAAGATACTCAGCATCACTAATCATCAGGGAAATTCAAACCACAATGATATATCACCTCACATCTGTCAGAATGGCTATCATCAATAAATCAATAAATAACAAGTGCTGATGAGGATGTGGAGAGGGGAACCCTTGTGCACTGTTGCTGGAGTTATAAATGGGTGCAGCCACTATGGAAAACAGTACAGAGATGCCTCAAAAAATTAAAAATAGAGCTGCCACACAATCTAACAATTCCATTTCTGGGTATTTACCCAAAAAAAGAAAAGAAAACAAAAACACTAATTCAAAATGATATAGGCACCCCTGTATTCATTGCAACATTGCTAGTAATAGACAAGATATGGAAGCAACCTAGATATCCATCAGTAGATGAATAAATAAAGAAGCAGGTTTACAGTTGTGAATATGCAAGACACAGAGTTTATTCTTTAATAATTTATTAATTATAATATTTTCCATATGAACAATTATAAACCTACTTTTGCTTCACCCTGTATAAATAGAATGGAACTTATTCAGCGATAAAAAAGAATGAAATCTTACCATTCATGACAACATGGACGGACGTAGAGGGTATAGTGCTAAGTGAAATAAGTCAGACAGAGGAAGACAAATACCATATGATTTTACTTATATGCAGAATCTAAAAAATCAAAACAAATGCATAGATATTGAGAACAAGCTCATGGTGGACAAAAGGGAGAGGGTGAAAAGTAACCCACAGCTCTCACGACCAGAGAGCCCTGTTATATCTTCACCAGAGCACCTATTGTCTGTTCCATATTTTCTTTTGTGTTTATGCACTTATAGTCCATCCTCACCCTAGACCAGTCTGCTCCAGGGGAGCGGGCACCATGCCTTTTATGCTCCTGTGGAGAGCATCAAGATTTGTGGAATAAATGAATGAATCTGCATCCTGCACTATCTCTTCCCCCACTAAAATGAAAGGGTTCAATTAAATGCCTTAGCTGACTTACACGTCACCCACTAAATACGCCAACGAGTGAACTCCTTACCTATTAACTACGCTTTCTTGGGTCAGTTATTTACTATCTCTACTTCATTATTACCACTGTATTTTTAATTGCTAATATTTGAGTGAT